ATTAAGATTATTGTTGGAGCTATTTTGCCCCATTACATGCCAATAAATTTGACAATCTAGATGAAATGGATGAATATCTACAAAAATATAAATTATCTAGATTTACAGAAGAAGATATAAAATAATTAAATAACTCAATCTTAGAAAAAGAAATTGAACAAGCCATTAATGAACTTCCTAAGAAAAAAAATCCCCAGGATCAGATGGATTTACAAGGTAATTCTACCAAACATGTAGAAAAAAGTTAATCCCAATACTATATAAACTATTTCAAAAACTTGGCAAAGAAGGAGTCCTACCAAATTCCTTTTATGACACAAATATGGTGCTGATACCCAAATCAGGAAGAGCCAAAACAGAGAAAGAAAATTATCCACCAATTTCCCTAATGGATATTGATGCAAAATTTTAAATAAAATACTAGCAAAGAGATGATAGCACTATATCACAAAGATCATATACTATGACCAGGTAGGATTTATACCAGGAATGCAGGGCTGGTTCAATATTAGGAAAACTGTCAACATAATTGACCACATCAATAACACAACCAACAGAAATCAATAGATGCAGAAAAAAAATTTGACAAAATACAGCACCCATTCCTATCAAAAACACTAGAGAGCATAGGAATGAATGGAGCTTACCTTAAAATTGTAAATTATATTTGTCTAAAATCATCAAGAATCATTATCTGTAATGGGGATAAACTAGAAGCCTTCCTAATACAATCAGGGATAAAGCAAGGATGCCCATTATCACCTCTATTATTTAATATTGTATGGAAATGTTAACTATAACAATAAGAGAAGAGGGAATGAGGAATAGGCAATGAGAAAACAAAATTGTCATTCTTTGCAGATGATATGATGTTACACTTAGAAAATCCTAGAGAATTAACTAAAAAAACTACTTAAAATTATTAACAACTCTAGCAAAGTTCCAGAATGCAAAATAAACCCACATAGATTATGAGCATTTCTATATATTACCAACAAAGTCCAGCAGTAAGAGACAGAATGAGAAATTCCATTTAAAATAACTGTAGACAATATAAAATAATTGGGAGTCTTCCTGCCAAGACAAACTCAGGAACTGTATGAACACAACTATAAAACACTTTTCACACAAACAAATCAGATCTAAACAATTGGAAAAATATTAATTGTTTAGGGATAGGCCAAGCTAATATAATAAAATGACAATTTTACCTAAATTAATCTATTTATTCAGTGCCATATGAAACAAACTATCAAAAATTATTTTATAGAGCTAGAAAAAATAATAACAAACTTCATCTGGATGAACAAAAGCTCAAAGATCAATATTGAGGGAATCAATGAAAAAAAATGTGAAAGAAAGTGTTGTAACCATACCAGATTTCAAACTGTATTATAAAGTGGTAATTATCAAAACAATCTGGTACTGGCTAAGACATAGGGTGGTGGATCAGTGGAATAGACTAGGTACATAATACATTGTAGTAAACGACTATAGTAATTTAGTATGTGATAAACTCAAAGATCCAAACTTTTGGAGCTAAAACTCATTATCTGACAAAAAATGCTGGGAAAACTGGAAAGCAGTAGGGCAGAAGCTAGGTATAGACCAATATCTCACACCACATAAGGACAAAATGGGTACATGATTTACACATAAAGGTTGATACCATAAGCAAATTAGGAGAGCATAGAATAATTTATCTGTCAGATTTATGGAAAAGGGAAGAAATTTATGGCCAAAGAAGATATAGAGAGCATTACAAAATGTAAAATAGATAATTTTTATTATATAAAATTTAAAAAGTTTTGCACAAACAAAACCAATGCAACTAAAATTATAAGAAAAGTGGAAAACTGGGGAAAATTTTTTGCAACAAGTATCTCTGTTAAAGGCCTTATTTCTCAAATGCATAGAGAACTGAGTCAAATTTATAAAAATATAAGTCATTCCCAATCGATAAATGGTCAAAGGATATGAACAGGCAGTTTTTGGATGAAGAAATCAAAGCTATCTATAATCATGGGAAAAAATGCTCTAAATCATTATTAATCAGAGAAATGCAAATTAAAACAACTCTGAAGTACCACTTCACACCTATCAGGGTGGCTAACATGACAAAAAAGGAAAATGTTGAATGTTGGAGGGGATTTGGGAAAACCGGGACACTGATGCATTGTTGGTGAAGTTGTGAACTGATCCAACCATTCTGGAGAGCAATTTGGAACTATGCCCAAAGAGCTATAAAACTGTAACATACCCTTTGATCCAGCAATACCACTATTAGGTCTGTGTCTCAAAGACATCCAAAAGAAGGGAAAAGGACCTATTTGTACAAAAATATTTATAGCAGTTCTTTTTGTGGTGGGTAAGAATTGGAAATCAAAGGGATGCCTATCAATTGGGGAATGGATAAACAAGCTGTGGTATGTGATTGTAATGAAATCTTTTGCTATAAGAAATGACAAACAAGATGATTTCAAAAAAACCTGGAAAGACTTATGTGAAATGATTCGTAGTTAAGTGAACAGAACCAGGAGAACACTGTACATAGTAACAGCAATATTGTTCAATGAAGAACTGTGAATGACTTAGCTAGTCTCTCTCTTTTTTTTTTTTGCTTTTTGATGAGGCACTTGGGGTTAAGTGACTTGCCCAGGGTCACACAGCTAGTAAGTGTCATGTGTCTGAGGCTGGATTTGAATTCAGGTCCTCCTGACTCCAAGGCCAGAGCTCTATCTACTCCACCACCTAGCTGCCCCTACTTAGCTATTCTTAGCAACATAATGGTCCAAGACAATCCTGAAGGACTTATGATGAAGTACACTGTCTGCCTCCAGAGACCGATATTGTGTGAACACAGACTGAAGCATGCTATTTTTTACTTTCTTTCATTTTTTCTTTTCTTAGTCTTCTTATAAAAAAGTACTAATACGGAAATGTTCTACTTTTTTTGTGCATGTATAACTTATATCTTATTGCTTACCATCTCAAGGAAGGGTGAAGGCAGGGAGGGAGGAATAGAACTTGAAACTCAAAACTTTAAATAAAAATGTTCAAAAACTGGGAAAAAAAGAAAAAGAGTTGGGTTTTGGAAGAACGATCATTGTTTAGAAATATTGAGTTTGAGATACATATAGAACACAGATAGGATTATCCATCAAAAGAAGCCAAAGAAATGGTTGACAGATATGAATAGAAGCAAAAGAGAGAAGTGTCAGGGTGGTCAAAAATGTCAAATGCTGCAGGGAGACCAAGAAAGAAGACTGAAGAAAGATCAACCTATTTGGCTATTAAGAGATTGGTAATTTTGGAGACAGCAGTTTTAGCTGAGTGACAATATTGGAACGCAGAATTCAAGAAACTAAGAAATGAAAAGTGATAAAGCGAAGACAATAAGAGTAGACAGCTTTTTAAAGGTGTTCGGATCTCAAAGGGAGCAGAATTATAGGACAATAACTTGAGGAGACAGTAGAGTCAAGAAAGGATTTTTTTTTTTTAAGGATAGGAAAGATCTGGGCATATTTATAGGCAATAAAGTAGAAACCAGTAGAAACTTGAAAGAGAAGGCATGACTGTGGGAACAATCTAGTGATAACATCTTGTGAGTTCAAGATGAGGGAATGATCACTTCTAGCTGGTGTATAAAAGGAAGGATTTAGACGTTAGGAAGTGGTACTGGAGTATCTGTTCCAAGTACCAACTGGAAAGGATTATGAGGTTTCGAAAGTGAATATTTTTGCTGGGGTTGATCAAGGGTGCAGATCCTCTGGTGCTCAGTCCCGGGAAGGAAGGAAGATAAGAGAGCTTTTAAAAATGGTCAATTAGGATCTCTAAAGTCTCTGCCAATGCTAAATCTATGATCTCATAACTAGGTTTGGGTTCGTTCTTTAGTAGATTAGAACATCTGAAGAAAATCTTTTGAATCCTGGAATTCAACTCAACATTAAGCATCTACTCTCTGAAATCGTTGCAGTATCTTTGCTAAGAAAACCTCAGACGGGGTCACGGCTGAAACGACTCGACAACTACTCTGAAAGTTGAGAAGCAGCACGGCACGTTGGATAAAAAGCTCGCTTCACATGCGGGAAGACCTGACAGAAACCTGCAGCGTGTGACCTTGGGCAAGTCACTTAAACTCTCAATGACCCACGCAACTCTCCAACATTATTAAATTACAGAACAATTGCTGATTTGCCTGGGTAGAGAAAGTTACCTTATTAGGAATTTCCTATGCCACTAAAAGTCCTGTGAGGGGAAAGGGAAGCTGTGGAGAGGGTCTAAGAGAAAGGTTTAGGGCATGGAGGAGGTGCAGTTTGTGAGGAGGGGGGAGTGGTCTATTCAAGGTCTGCGAGGGAAGAGGAAGTCTATGAGGGAAGGGACGCTGTGAAGGGTGTCTAAGGGAAGCAGGTGGCTGGGGGGGGGTTATAGGAAATGTTGGAGGGAGGAGGAGACTGTGGGAGTCTTGAGGGGAGCAATGGGCTATGTGGTCTGTGAGGGGAGGGAGGTGTGAGGGGAGACTCTAAAGGTAGTTTGTGGGGAAGGTACAGGTTTCTGAGGGGGTCTGCCTGGGAAGGTACGGGGCGGGGGTCTTTGGAAGAGGAGGTACATCGGTTTATTAGCGAAGGCTGTGAGGGGCTCTGTTGGAGGATGGGGGTCTGGAGGAAAAGGGTGGATATAGGGATAAAATGGGAATATTCGGGGAAGGGGCAGTGTGAGTGAAGCAGTGGGGGTAAAGCTGGGGAAGAGCCTGTGAAGAGAACGAGGTCTCCGTGAACGTCGGTTGGGGCCGGTCTCTACATTAGGAAGGTTTGGGAAAGAGGTCAGGGGTCAGGGTTGGGGGGAGGGGCGGTCTTTGTTGGGGGCTCAGAGGGCACGCCTATGAGCATCAAGAGCCAGGGAGAGGTCCTTGAGAGAATAGCGTGGAAGCAGGGGGGCAGGACTAATCTAAGACAACTCGCGGGGTGCGCCGTTGTGACGCAACCTCAGGGAGGAGGGCGGGAGTAGCGCTTTGGGGGCGCGCGCCCGCACGCGTGCCTACGGTCGGCTCTGCGTTTGCGCAGCCGTTGCCCGTCTCCTGCCCGAGAAAAGTCTCCCCCCAGCTGCGAACTCCGGAAATTCACCCTTCCACCCGGAAATGTTTGTTGAGGAACATGGCGCTGCTGTGGCGAGTCCTTGTGAGTGATAGAATGACTCTCCGTTTTCTCTTGGCTGGCCCTGGGGTTAAGGGCAGGGGCTTCTTTTCTGCGGGGGCAGAGGAGGGAAGCTGGGACCGCCGGAGGGGACTATAGGGGTGCGGGGGACGGAGCAAGTGACAGGTTCTGGGTGGGGGAAACTGAGGCAGGTTCTACAGACCGCCATTCCCCGACTGGGCTTTGGCCCTAGATGTGGGCTCCTTAGGAGCAGAAAGACTGGCGTCTCCTCGGGTGGACTTCAGCCACCCTAGACGTCCATCCTCGTCACTAGCAGCAGCTGTGTTATCTCTGGGTGAGGTGTGGACATGAGTCATAAAACGGAGAGAGACCTTGGAAACTTACCACGGCCCAGTTCTTTTTACAGAGGAGGAAACTGAGGTACAGCCCTGCAACTTACTAACTTGCTCCTTATGTGACCTTGAAGCAAGTTGCTTCAGCACTCTTGGTCCTCAGTTCATTCATCTGTTGAGAAATAAAAGGGGAGATTGGATTCGATGGTCCCTCTCTAAAGTCCCTTCCAGGTCAAAATCCTAAATCATATAGCTGGTAACTGATAGAAAACCAAGACTAGTTATTTTCCCCTTCCACTGTATGTCAGTGCCTCAGTTTATGAAAATGTTTTTAATGATCTTAGCCAGCCTGAGTAGTGGACAGATCTCACATGAACTAGAGCCCTGTATTTTAGTAGATACTGTAGGACAGTGGAATGTGCAATGGATTTGGAGGCAGAAAACTTGGACTGAAATACTGGTCTTACTACTTGCTACTTGTGTGATTTTTTTGCCAAGCCAGTCGGGCTTCAGTTTCCTTCCCTGTAAAATAGTGGGATTAAATTAGTCCATCTCTAACCTTCCTCCCAGGTGAAAGTCTTGCTATATTGTGTTTATATAATACAGTATTTATCTTAGCAGTTTCAGATTCTTAAAAGATTTTAAAGCCTATTAATAACAAAGTCAAAATTGTGGAAAAAGAGATATGGTTGGGACCTATGATTTCATTGACCTACCTCTTGGAGGAGGAAACTTTCTCTACCAACGTGGGTCTCCATCTTCTTTATAATTCATAATCTTAGAGAGTTGTCTAATAATAATAGTAATGATAATATTATTAGCTAATATTTTTATAGCTTTTTAAGGTATGCAGTAACTTTACAGATATTTCATTTTATCCATACAACAGTCCTGGGAGGTAGGTGTTATTATCCCTATTTTACAAATGATTAAGCTGAGGCATAGCTTAAGTGACTTGCCCAGGATTGCACAGTTGGTGTTTGATCCAGAATTTGAACTCCAGTCTGATTCCAGTGTTAAATCCACTGTGCCAGCAAGCTACAACTAGAGCTCTGAGAACTGACTCACTCAGGGTCACAAAGAATATGTGTTAGAGGCAGAACTCAAATCTAGGTTTTCCTGGCTCCAAGACCTACTCTTGTGGATAAAGATCTATGAGGAAATGCTTGGAGGATAACTAATCTGAGGATGATACAGTGCTGCTTTCCTGAAAAACTACATCATCTAAAATAAGTGCCACAGTGCTTTTTTTCCTGAGAAACTGTAAGATTAGACCACCTGGAGGCAGGAACAGTGTCTTACCTAAACCTTGTATTTCCCTTAGATTTGAGCATAGAATGCTCTCTGCACACAGTAGGCACTTAATGTCTATTGAGTGAATGAATACAGATTATAAACTTACTGAAATCCAGGAAATATAAAGTTACAAGGTCAGGCCATGAAATCCAGTGGTCTTTCCATCATATCCTGCTGCCCCTACTTTTATAAAACTTAAAGCGCCATGTCAGTGTGACAGTCATTTATGTTCTATGACTGCTACAGCATTGTAATTATTCCCACTTCTACTTCTCCCGGCTCCATTTTAGCCTCCACTGGCTACCAGAGTAGTTTTTTAAAGTAGTGTTTTCACCATGTTATTCTCTTGTGCAAAACCTTCCACTTCAGCCAAACTGGTTTCCTTAATGTTCCCCAAATATGCCTTTCCTACCACTTTGTGCCATTGCTTGTTCCTAGAATGTTTTTCCTCTCTGTTTATTCAGTTTGTACCCATTCTTTAAGGTCCAGTTAAAGTTCTGTTTCCTTCATGAAGACTTCCATGGTTACTTCAGTTTATAGTGATCTTTGAACTCAGTGAATCATAAAATTTTAGAGCTAGAAGGGACTTCAGAAGTCATTTAGTCTAACCTTTACATGACATGAAAACCCTACAAAATAGATTAATAAAACTTATTATCTCTAGTTCTATGTTCTGGAGCCACATATCTTTTTACCAGCTTCCATCCAGCTGTTCACATTCTTAAGCATATAGGCTATTGCATCTCTATTCCTTTGTCCCTAAAGTACCCAAAGAAACTGTTTTTGGCACTAGATGGTCAAGAAGTTACAAATGTTAATGTAACAGTGAAGTGGAATGTACCAGGTCACTGTGATCTTTGCTCATTATATATTGAAAGGATCTTGCTTTGGAATCTAGACCCTCTTCATCTGCCCACTGTATGGTGACTACTGCAAGAGTCTTACTAACTTATGAATTGAGAATGATGTTTGGTAAGATTCTCAGGAGTTTTCTTTTATCTGTTGGGAAACTAAGGTTATTATGTAAAAAAAAAGTTTTATTAATTTCTTTCATATATCAACCCCTTCTGGACCCTCCCTTGAAATGAAAACAAAACAAAACAAAACAACCCTTGTAGCAAATATACATAGTCAAGGAAAACACATTTTCTCATGAAAAAGCATTAAATGTTCTTCTAAGCACTGTGGGGATAGGAAGACAAAAGAGTCCTTGCCCCTAAGCAGTTTATATTCTAATCCAGGGAGACCATAAATATAGCCAGAGATAGGGACTAGACTTCTTGATTTCACTAGCATTTGGAGCTTCTGTTGAGAAACTTCCTCCACCAATGTAGTAGGTCCGAAACTTCTCTGCAATTTACTGGTACTGCCTGAAGTACCAAGAAGTTTTTTATTTTAATTTATTTTTTTTCAATGAACAAAAATATATTTTCTTGCTCTCCCATTTTTGTTGCCAACCCTTTTATGAGACAAAACCATTGCAACAAATATATATATATATATATATGTATGTATATCAGTCTGTACTCTCAGTTAATCACCTCTCTTTCAGGAAATGGGTATCATCATGTGTTCTCTGGAATCGTGGTTGGTCATTGCGTTGATCAGAATTCTTAAGTCAAAGTTTGTCTTTGTAATATTTTTATTGTATAAAGTTCTGCTTACTCCATTCCATATCAGTTCATGCAAGGCTTCCCAGGTTTCTCTGAAACTGCCTCCTTCATGATTTTTAATCCACAAGAGGCAATGTGGCCTACTAAATAGGCTAAGATACACTATAAGGGGGATTAATTAAAAGAAAATAATGGGGAAAAGGAAGGGTAAGAGTGGGAGAAGAGGAGGAAAAGAATGAGAGAGAAGAGGAAAGGATGAATACAGTTCTGTTATATTTGGATTTGTAAATCATTGTGAAAATTGTATTTTGTGGGACTGGCTCTGGTGCCTCTGGGCTGCCTGATTGTTGATCAAGGGCCTGAAAGTATCCATGTTGTTATTTTGATGGAACTTGTTTCCTTCTTCCTCCCCCTTAAGACCCTACTAAGGTTATTTCAAAGGAGATTCTTTAAGTATTTATCTCTTTTTCTTCCACCTCATCTCTATTTACCTGGTAGCTACCATCTACGTGGAAGCTAAGAAGAACAAACGACTAGGTCTATCATTTATTGTCAGTGTTACCTTGGGCAAGTCACTTAATTACTCTGCCTCAGGTACCCCATCTGAAATGAGAATAATATCAGTACTACACGTTTCATAGGTTTGTTATGGTGATCAAATATTATGAAGACTATAAGTGTCACCTGCTGTTATTGTCATCATTTGTTGAAGAGGAGAATTAAAAGGTGTTGAGGCAAGCACCAGATACTGTAAAGAGAGTTGGAGTTGGAGTCAGAGGACCTAGGTTCAGATTCTGCCTTGAAACTTGTGTGAGTTTGGGCAAAATCACTTAACCTCTGGACCTCAGTTTCCTCATCTGAAAAATAAAGAATTTGGAATAGAATGACCCTGAGGTCCATTCTAGCTCTACATCTAAGATCCTATGTTAGTAGAAGGGATTCCTGATTTGAAAGGAAGATCAGTCATCAGTCAACAAGCATTTATTAAACTCTTAGCTATATGCTAAGTGCTGAGGGTACAAAGACATACAAAAATATCAGAGATTTTACATTTATGATAGGGAAACTTCATTTCAATCACTAGGTACATACAAAATATATACAAAATAGATGGAAAATTATCTGGGGGGTGGGAGAAGACAATGACAGCTGGGAAGACCAGGAAAGGTTTCTGCAGAAGGTGAGATCACAGCAAGTCTTGAAGGAAACCAGGGTAACTAAGAGGCCAAGGGAGGGGGGAAAGCCATCCAGCCATGGGAAAATGGTGTAAAGGCACAGAGTTGGAATGTTATGTTTAAGAACTAGCAGCAAATAGGCCAGTATAGCTGTATGTGTGTAGGGGAAGAAAGTGTAAGAAGACTGAAAGGTCTTTCAGTGCTAAATATAACAATTTATATTTTGTCATGGAAATAATAGGAAGCCGTTGGAGGTCATCGAGTGGGGTGTATTTGTGTGTGCCTGTGTGAGACATGGTTAGACCTATGCTTTAGAAAAGTCATCTGGGCAGCTGAGTAGAAGACGGATTAGAACAGAGAACACATGAGCCAGGGAGACCATTTAGAAGGCTATTGCAGTAACCTAGGTAAAAGGTGATGAGGAACCTGAACTAGGGTTATAGCTGTGTGAGTGGAGAAAAGATGAAGTCAGTGAGTCAGTCAGTAAGCCAGGCACTATACTAATCACTGACGATACAAAAAAGAGGCAAAAGACAATTCCTAACCTCAAGGAGGTTGAGTCTAACCTGAAGACAAGCTAACAAATACACACAAATTATGTGTAGGAT